CACCTGGGGGGTGGTGTGCCCAGGGTGGAAACTCCCTTCTTCCCTTCCGATATGGTAATTAAGTACGGTAGGATACTAGGATAATTAACTTAGGGGATTGAATCATAGGAATCATTGGATAGTAGGAAAAATCTCTTCACCAAAAGGGTTGTCAAGCACTGGACCAGGCCGCCCAGGGAAGCGGCCGAGGCCCCCTCCCTGCAGGTATTCCAAAGCCGTGCGGATGTGGCGCTTGGGGACACGGCTGCGTGGTGGGCTTGGCACTGCTGGGTGAACGGTTGCACTGGATGATCCTAAAGGGCTTTTCCAACCTCAACGATTCGATGATTCTACAGTTACCCTCCCCGCCGCGCTCCCCGGCTCGGCGTTCAGCAAGGCGGTGCGGCTGCGGTGCGGTGTCAGCGGGGTCTGGAGGGAGAATCTGAAGCCCCCGGCAGACTCTCCCGAGGTGCTGGCATTTGTGGTTGTCATGAGGGCAGGCCCTGAGGAACGGCCAGGCTAGAACGTCAGGCGCCAGTTCCAAGTAACACGTCTAGCGTGACCGCGTAACTTCTTGCTAAAATGAGACAGCAAATTAATTTTGCTATATTATACTCCTAAATACTGTGGAGCGCTCTATCAGGCCTCCTGTTGTTCCTTACCAGGTAACACGAGTTGTTTGAGTTTGTTTGTTTTTAATGCTTTATACTACATCAGAAAGCACGCAAAAGAGATTTCTCGCAGCACTCGCGTACCACGAGCTAAGAGATATGGCAGGGGAGGAAACCATCGCGTGCTACGTTGGATCATCCGTTATATCTTCTGAAACACTTTGCACGCGTATCTTGTTGGAACGGTGTATGTTGCGTCACAGAGTTATTTGGTTTTCTTCTAGGGGGGCTGTGCTGAAGACTTGGTGCAATGGCTGTGCAGATGCAGTTAGACGCAAACGCAGATACGTCAGCGGAGGAAGAGAGCTTTGGGCCACAGCTCATATCTAGGTTAGAGGTAGGTAAGGACTTGGCTCTAGAGTAAGCCTTCAAGAAATCTGCTAGTGTTTTTCCTTAAACACAAGTTGTAGCTGAAAATTGTGTTGCTAAATCCTTGTGTTCTATCAAAGAAACCCAAACCGAACCAAAAAACCCAGCGTGTTAACAGTTATGTTTTATATTATGTTGCCTTGCTGTGTACCCTTTCCTTACATGCACTGGTCACCTCCAGCATCTATTAAACCAGAGAATGATATCTTCTGCCTGTTCTGTGCCATCTCTATGGTTAATAGCTTATGCAAACATTCCACCGGTAAAAGGATATTATTTTTTATGGTTCTTTGTGTATAAGTGAATAGGGAGGTAACACTCAATATGCTGACTTGTAATAACAGAGTTTGATCCAAATCTGATGAAGCCAATTGAAAGTATTCAGTGGAAGTTAGATTAAGGTATTTGTGTCTTAGTGTGTCCTTTTTTCTCCCCTCCCTTTCAGCAATGTGGTATAAATGCAAACGATGTGAAGAAATTAGAAGAAGCTGGATTTCACACAGTTGAGGCTGTTGCTTATGCACCAAAGAAGGAGCTACTAAATATTAAAGGCATCAGCGAAGCCAAAGCTGACAAAATCTTGGTAAGGGTGTTATGGAAAAGCTTTAACCCAAGATATTCAAGAAGCTTTATTTCTACTGGCTTAAAGTGTTCCGGTGATTTTGGAAGGTCTCCACTAACAATAAGATCTTCAAGAAGTTTTGTTTCTACTGGCTTAAAGTGTTCTGGTGATTTTGGAAGGTCTCCATTAACGATGTACTGAGGAGGGCAGTGAGGGGGATTAGAGGTACGACATGACTTCTGGTGAGAAGAGACAAAAAGCACTAGGACCGGCTTCAAGAAGTGAAGAGGGAGGGACTATTAGAAAGGTCCATAAAAATTCTGGAAGGTATGGAGAATATGCCCAAGATTACTGTTACTTCTAGCTCAGTATTTCTCAGGATAAGAAGGCTTATGATAAGCCTAAAGCAAAGAAAGTCCTTTTTCCTACAGGGTGTAATTAAGTTATGGAACTCCTTGTCCCAAGAGACAGTGGCCGCCTGTAGCATAAATTGGTTTAAAAAGGGGCTAAGTGCAACGTTTGTGGGGTAACGTTCGGATCAAGAAGCTCGCTGAGTGAACCAGAGGAGCTGCCAGACAGCGGGTCAGCCCCTTGTTCCCTGATGAAAAAGCATCCGCTCTGGGCACTTGGCAGGGCAGGGGAAGCTGCGTTAGGAACGGCTGGACTGACCCGGCGCAGCTGTTCTGCTGCTGGGCTTTTCTTAAGCATGTTAATTGTGTCCCTCGGATAGGTATTCACCGCGAGACCTGGTGTTTACTTCTGGGGACTGAGAGCGAAGCCTGAGTTGTAATCTCACGCCACCTTCTAGTTCAGAATGTGGAGTTTCTGCCAAACTAGTTCTCACTTATGGAAAACTGACCTAGCACAATGTTTAACTCCAATACTTTTCTTACGTTGTCTTCCCAATAGTGAATAAATATGCGG